TTGAACAAAAGTTATTCAAAATTATGTTCTAAACAATACGCAACCTTTTGATTTTTGCTAAACGTCCCCATTAAGGAGTTGAAGGGCTGGCCCCTAAATACTTCCTTTGCAAATATCTCAGAAACGAAGAAAAATTTCTTAGTAGTTGTTGAACAAAAAGTGTTCAAAATCATGAAAGCTTTAAGGTGATATCAAGGAAAAGGGTCTGACCCATTAAATAAGGGGCTGAGAGGGGCCGAAAGTATACAATCAATAACTCTTTAATGATCAATATTTTGTAATATATTACTGAAGCGAAATAGTACATCTTCACACACTTTATCTAAAAAACATGATGTTGATATCATATATTACGCAGTAAGGGGTCTTTAGCGGGCCAGATTGCATAATCTTTGGCGCAATATATCTCGAAAAGGAAGAATATTTTGATAAACAGTATTGAACAAAAGACGATCAAAATAATATTCTGAACAATATGCACTCTTTCAATTTTTGCTAGACGTCCCAATTTAAGACTTGAAGGGCCGGTCTTTAATATTTCTTTTGCATATATCCCGAAAACAAAAAAGAATTTCTGACTAGTTGTTGAACAAAAAGTGTTCAAAATCATGAAAGCTTTAAAATGATATCAAGAAAAAGGGGCTGACCTCTCACACTAGGGGCCAAGAAGGGGCGAAAGTCTTTAATCTATATTACTTTAATGATCAATATTTTGTAAAACATTATTGAAACAAAATTGTTCGTCTTAACTATTTATCTATATCATGATATTTGAACGAAAATCTCAGTCAAATTCTTATCTCATCTTATCAAAAATCGGACGGAAGACCCACTCGTTGCTCGCAACGAGATCTCATCTAGTTATTATTATTATTATTATTACTTTTGCAGGGTTTGAAGAAAGCAACGTTTACCACGATACGAACAGTCTACCTCATCACTCGTAGAAACAAGCATTATTTTACTTTTGAGTGATAATTAACTTCCTCTGTCAAAAAGAAAGTTTAAAGTTTGTTTTATCTCGACATCTATCAAATTTTTTTTATAAAAGTCAGTTATGTTATGATTTTTTTAATCTAAAAGTTTGTGGCTGTTTTATTTGAAACGGGTCTCTTTGAAAGCAGCACAGACAGAAAGCCTTGGTCGCAGACATTGAACCAAATAAGTACCCGTTATTATTCACGACCTTTTTTCGTGGTTTGTCATTTTGAAACCCATCCGCAACGATTATTTTTCGCGACTGGGAATATATTCTACACACATATTCAATTAAATTTAAAAAAAATGAGGCGAGAAAAATTCACGAGCAAAAGAAATATACGTAACTATGTCGTTATTGAATGTAGTTAACGTCTTTTTCAGACTCAACCTCTTACTGCCGGATTAAATGCCTCCCTTTCTAGTTTCTACACAGCATATTGTCTTGATGTCTTTATGACATTCCAGATATGAGGTAAATCACTTTACAAATCACGGGTATATAACTTGTACATAAGGATTACAGAGAATAAATTGTAATGAGAAAAGAAATACCGTTGGCTTTTTCAAGGAATCTAGTCATACTGTTATCAATACCTTTGAATATATACTTTTTCTTTCCCCTTTTTTTAGTGCTGGGGGGAATTATGGATGCAAGGGATAAATTTGATTCCGAGAAAACGAGTGGATTGAATTGAATTGAATTAATTCTCTCTCTCTCTCTCTTTTTTTTTTTTTTTTTTTTTTTTTTTTTTTTTTTTTTTGTTCTTAACAATATACAATAGACTTATCAACTTCAATTTATACATAATGCCTAAAAAAACTTGAAAATGCTGTTCCACGCTTTTGTATTGCCTAAAGCTTTTCCTTTCGTCAGGCAGAAATAGACTAACACTAAGCTTTTCATCTTATCATAATTTTTAAGACTGCGCAGAACACACAGTAATTCACTTAACGGAAGTTAATGGAACAGACTGAAAAAAAAAAGTAATAGCGAGACATTTTATGCAGTCATTAGATTTCAGCTTGCATGTGTTGACCTGTTCATTAACTAAAATAATTTCTATTTCAAAATATGTTTCACAGTCATATCTCAAATAATCAAAAATAGCAAGTATTTATATCTCCTAATCGACTGTGTGTACTTCAGTGGAAATCCGTGTACACAACTGTTCCAATTTTTTTTTATTTAAAAATATTAGAGCGGTAATTTTTTTATTTTGAAATAAGTTTATAAATTTCAAATGATTTTCCTCTGAGATGTAAATTCTTCCATTGCTAGAAAGACTTCATTTATATTGATGATAAATCACACAATCAAGGAAAAGAAAAGAAAATTATATTGTCAGATCAGTTTTGAAAAATTTAAGGCATATTATGAATTTATTATCTTGAGGCCATTTAACATTAATGCCTTTTAGCTATGCTTGGAAAGAAAATGCTATCTTACGGGGATCATACTTTTTTTTATTATTTAAAAGAAAAGCATAATTTAAAATTAAATGCATGTTAAAGAAATGAATGTTTTGTTTAGATTCTATATTGCTAACAAGAAACATTTATTTAATTGAGAAGCAGTCTTCTTTTATGTCTTTTAATATCATAAGAAAGACATGGTTGAATGCTTATGCAATATTAGAACCAAATACGTGAACCATGTCTTTCTCTTCTCACGTATTTGGTTCTAATATTGCATAAGCATTCAATCAGTTACATGAGGCATTACATGTACAATGGCCAGCTTATTCAGATAATAATTTTATACACAAGTTTTAAATGTGATTAGGACCATTGGGTGTACTGTAGAAATTCTGAAGATTATTTCGTGAATGATCGCAATCATTAGATTTTGTTCGGCCTTCCTTAAAAAAACCCCTGGTGTTTTCTTTAAACTGAACTGTTTTCTGTGACCTAGCAAGAATATTATTTATCCAAAGCTAGAGCTCTTGAGATGAAAAAAGAGATATCGGTCTGATTCACCTGAGTTTAGAAGTTTTGAGTCCCTGAAGAAGAATAGAAAAGTATATTCAGTCTATTGATAATAACTTATTAGGTAAAGAACAAATCTCTACTCGATTACAAAATATTAGTCTGTAGTTATGATGCACAATATGTATGGATAGAAATGAAATTCAAACAAAATGTATATGTTAAATGCTAGAAATCTTTTAATATTAAAATTATTAACTATGAAGTTAGAAATATCTCTCGTAACACTGATAACGTCCTGGTTCGTCCTGCCATTGCGAGTACCTCACGGTCATCTCAACCCGTAGAAGAGAGGGGGGGGGGGGCACCCCCACTATTTTTTTTTTTTTTTGGATATAGTCTTTTGCTGTAGTGTTAATATGTAAATCTTTATTTAGATGCTTTTTGCCCCTGCCTCTCTGCCTTTTGTGGTTGTAAGGTAGACCACTGACAAAATCAAGCATTTGTGAAAAAATGCACCAATAAATAAGGTTACCCCTAACTTTTAAAACTTTTGCTACGGGCCTGTATCTTCATGTAACTTACTCTTTTGCGGAAAAGTCGAAGGAGCTCTTAATATGGCGAGATTTGAGAAACATAACATTGTGTTCGATAATATCAATCAATTGATTTGAACAACTGGTGTGCCAAAGTACAATGTATTGCCAAATGCTGCACTTCAGATAGTATGCTAATTCGGAATGTTTTGAGTATTTTACCCATTTTCAAAAGTAACGATTAACAAGAAGAAATATTCGAGTTTAATAAAAAGATTCAGCTTAGCAGATGGTACCAACAAGAATACAACACAGGAAGATAGACTCCTCCCACGTTTTATTAACGTGGTGCACCGAATATTCTGCAAAGTTTCACAAGGATTTCTTTCTTGTGTCTCCTTAAATAATCAGATTAGATCTTGTAGTGTTTTCAATAAAACATAGTCCACAGCTAACGGACGTTTCGTACCCCCAACGGGAAAAAGTCCCATTAAGTAATCGCGATTAAGTATTTAAAAAGATACAGATCATCCGACGTTGTACATGCATAGAAGTTGATTTATTCTGCATTTGTGCGCATTTTTAAAGATTGTGATTAAATTATGGTAAAATGACATGGGGAAATAGAATACTTTGCTCGCAAATTTATATATTATCAGTAAATATGACAAATCATTGATGAATTTTAGAATATATTTCAAAAGACCATACAAGCAAACTTTATAATAATAATAATAATAATAATAATAATGATGATGATGATGATGGCGATGATGATGATAATAATAATAACAGTTTATGAGAATTTTCAAACATCCCTTCACTGCCAGAATTTTTTTTCTCTTTAAATCCTCTAGCTTTGGGAAACATAAACAATCAATGATCGTTTTCAAGATTATTGCTGAATTTTAAGAAGATGCCTAATTTTTTCCCAATATTGAATACGTTTTCTTGGACAACGACAACTTAGGAATATTATCTAAACAAAATGAATATGAAATTCATTTCAGCTTATTAGAGACAACAAATTATGTATAACACTTCTTATTTAGATACATTATCTTAAAATTTCAAATTAAAATAGAAAAAAAAAATTGATCACATCTAAAATTTAACTTGTTTTAAGATGTTTGTGATCTCGTCTTTCCCAGTCACCGTAAAAATTACGTCAGTCGTTAATAATTAGAATAGAATAAGAATTCACTTCCCATAAAACCAAGGATGAAAAATATATTATTATACAAAAAAAAATAAAAAAATAAAAAAATAAACGATGAAAGACCCTTCACAAAATTGCATGCTTGACGTGCTAAGAAGCTTCATGTTTATATTACATGATCATTTACTATAGAGTGCCATTTCAAACAAAAGATAATTAAAAAAAGCACATATAATGACAAGTATTATTATATTTTTGAGCATTGACATTTTGTAAATTACAATTCATTTTTTTTTTTTTTTACATATAGAGCATTTCATTTTCAGATCATACAACCAAACAGAAATTAAATTCTTAAAGGCTAATACCTTTTCAATGATATTTTTAAATACGTTTATCATAAAAACAAAGGTTCTACATAGCAAGTTCCTCCTTTTTAACTCCAAATACATTGCCCATGTTTCTCCCAGATAGCTTCAATCAAGTTTTATTTCAATGTTTTTGAAAATTTCTGCACGCTCTCGAATTTTTGAAACATCAGAACTCAGGGAAAGCAAGACGGACTCTTCCTCTTTATAGACTTCTATCTTGTTCTTTGTTGATTCAATATTTATTGACAAATCATCGATTTCTCTTTTTAAATCTCCCTCCAGATAACTCTTAACGACTTTTTTAAATCTCTCTTCATACGTTTTATGTAACGTTTGCCTTATTTTCGGCTTTGTTAGCTTATCTATTCTAGCTTTGAAAGCATTCTTTGTAACAGTTTTATAGTCATCAAGGACGTCCAGTGCAACTAATCCTGTCATTACAAGACCAGCCACAACGCCAGCAGCAGCTACGGCTTGTGCAGCCTTGGGACTCACAGACATATATATCATTGCCAGACTTCCAGCAACAGCAGTGCCACTGGGAGCAATCAGCGATAGAAGAACAGGACCAAGTTTGTCTTCAACGTCAAATGGGGACCTAAATCCTCTCATTTTGTTCTTAATGTTGTGCAAAGACTCGTGAATTTGTATAAAATTTTCTGTAAGTTTTTGTAATATCTGGCTTGTAAACATTCTTTCAATGTTTTCTTGTTGCCAGGAAAGAGTGGCCTTTTCTATGCGATTGCTAAGTTCACCTCCAATAGTAAAGCGTGTGTGCTTTTCAATTTCTTGGAGAACGCTTGCCTTGAACTCTGCACTGTGTATGTATTGAAAAAGAGCTTCAGTAGTGTCTTCCAGAAAATTGTCCACACTTTCTTGAAGACTTGAAAGTGCCTAAGAATGAAAGGTACAAAGGCCATTGTTCACTTTTTAATGAAAATTGTCGCATTAACATAACAAAAAAGCTTCTATCTATTTTTTTTTTAAAAGGACAACCAGACAAAAATGTGAAACATACATTGGTAATAATTACCTCTTGTCTTTTATTTTGGATAACTTGCAAATCTCTGGAAAACTGATCAAGTTCCTGAATTGTCTTTTCTGTGCTCTGCCTTGCACACCTTAGCTTGCTTGAAAGACTTAAATCACAGTCATCAGCAAAGGATTTTATAAATCTGTAATATACATCAATATAGAAGTAAAACATATGATGGTTTGCTTTATGCACTTCAAACTTAACGAAAATGAACAAAGAAATAAACACAAGAGACTTGCGACTGAAAATACTCAAAAACAATATTTTAATTTTGAATTTAAAAACTTACGTTAACAATTTTAGCATAATTAAAAAAAAAATATCACAGTTTTTAATTATTTGTGTTCTGTGGCACCAGATCACTTTTTATTTGAATTATGTGTGAAAAGCATATATATTTTTTTTAAAATCATGACTTACCCCAGATGAACTTTTGCTCTCTTAAATTCATTTTTGGTAATCACTTCTTTGAGAATCTCTTGAAATTTGTCATATTCGACCTTGTAGGCTTCTTGTTCATGCACCTTTATGTAATAGAGAGAATCACAATGTAGATTTAACTAACAGTGATCGATGTCATAAAAATCTATAATCAATAAAAATTTGAGAGCAGGGCATAAAACAAGGATCCCTAGAAATTCAAGAATCTGGATCAGTGCCTAGGAGAAGTATGCAGCCCCTGTTGACCGGTAACTCCCGCCGTGAACCCTTTGTATAGATCAGGTAGATGGAACATTCCGTAGTCAAATTCAGTATAAAAACAAAGGCCAAACAACTGGTACGAAACACCTCAGCCAAATAATTGCATGGCTAAGAAATATGAAACGCAAAAATAGACCACAATTCACCAAATGTAATTAATGTTTATTAGGCATATGAAAGAAGTCATATGTTCTGTGCAGATCCGTTGCATCTTTGGACTTAATCAATATACATTCCTTTGCTTAAGATTTTCAATTAATGTTCTATATTTAAAATTTTCCCGAAGGAATATGATTTTAAAAAATCAAGAAATATGTAAATAAATATCACTTTACCAAAGCTGAGGCAAATTTCAGAATAGTTTTGTCCTTCACACCTTCCCATATCTCATGGACTTTATCTTTTAATTCCTCATACAAATCTTTCTTTCTCTTTTTCTTTGAAACAACTGTATCCCATTTGTTGAGTAGAAAAATGGCATCTTCAGGATCTAAGCAATACATCAGATTCATCGATTCTCTGACGTGTTTAATGATATGCAGAAGCTACAAGAAAGCTAAAAATTAAAATTAGCCATGCATATATTCTGATATATGAAGAACTGGAAAATTATAATTTTGAAAGCACGTTTTCTTTTCTCTAAGTTTTTTGAATACCGAGTTTAATTTAAACAAGTTTGCTTCAGTAATAAAAATATAAATGATTGTCTCAAAAATGAATATACATATGTAATAAGTATACCCTATCATCCTGGAATCCACCTGCATTGGAAACGTTTACCACAAATATGAAAGCCACTGCTTTGGGCAGATACTCCATCATTTTTGCTGCCACAATATCTTGCTCTGTGTCACCTTTTCCTGGTGTATCAACTATAATAATGTTACCCTAAAGGATAGAGAAGGCTTCTTAATAAAAAGATCCAACAGTCGTGATTTTTTTCTTTCCTGATTTTTGAAGCCTTTTTTTTACAGCTGAGATTCACGTATTTGTATTTTTCCTCAAATGGGTGCTGACAAGGCATCAGACATAAGAATAACACACTTCACATAATTATAATGTATATGGACAAAACGTTTGAAACTTTATTGAACACTCTTATGTGCTATATAAAACCTTCCCTGGATTCATGAATACCAATTAAATAAAATAAAATTAAAAAAAATAAAAAAAAAATTAAAAAAATAAAAGTGTTCTAACCTCGTTACATGTTTCTTGGTGCTACGGCTGTAAAAGTTATAAAACTGTATTTATTTTATTCTGTTCAAATAATTTTTAACTATTTTTTCTTTTGTGAAACCATCAATTTTTTGAATGATGAAAAAGTAGAGAGAGAAAATTACTTACCATTCCAATTTCATTTTTCTGTCATTCTTGCAGCACAGATTTCGTGTACTTATTTGGGAAAGTGCCTCAAATTGTCAAAGCTATAATTGTTTTTCAAATACAAAATGAAAAACAAAAATACCTTCAGTATTGGAACTGGAAACCAAACATCAATGTATTCTATTCTGTGGTCATCTGTTCTAGCTAAATCTTCCATCGTCTCACTTAGTTGTTCTTCATCACTAAACTCTGTGCTGACTATTTCTTTGCCTTCCTTATCCAGCTTCGACACTCGCATTTTGTCGGAATATCTTACTCTACAGACTCTCGTTGTCGTCGCCATTATGTCAGTTGGCACAATGTCTTTGCCAATTATAAGATTTATAATGGTTGATTTTCCAGAACTTGTTTCTCCTAAAAATAAAAAAAACAACAATAACCACAAATTTAAAAAAAAAAAAAAGTGATAAAAAGAGACAAAAAAGAAAACAACACAAATTAAAACATGAAATGTGAATTAAACGAGATGTTGTTTATTTGATAACAACAATGACTTTTAGATAATAAATAATAAACGTTGAATTACCGGCTACCACAATAGCACAGTCTGTCTTTAATAAATCCGCTATTCTAGAATCCAACTCTTTGTTAATGTTATTCATTTTCTTTGATTCGTCTCGAATGTAACAGTCAAAAGCATTTTGGTCTACTAATACTTGAATAGATCTGAAGATTTCAACTATTTCTTCCTGAAGACAGTCGTAACTGCAGGTGTTCCTGTGAAATGATATACACATTAATGATATAATACCACTAGAGGAATAAGTAGTCCATACATAAGTTGGATTTGCCTGTCTTTCCTGCCCCTTTTTGTGAATCTGTCTCTTTTTTCTGGCCCTCCACCTATCCTCTCTACCTACCATAAATATGTTTCCAGTCCTAAACCTAGTCTGAACCTCTTTAAAAGGGTGTACAAATTCACGTTATTGCTTACGATAACATACACATATTGCTGTTTTAGGTCAATACGATGATTTATTCATCTTAGGAGTACAATATTGTACTTCAAAGGTGGAAGTATTAACCGGGAGGGGGATGGGGTTAATGTTTGGATCCATTAACAAGGGGGAATGCAACAACCCTTTCAATGTATATTTCATATTTAGCAAAATTAAAATTTTACGTTTAGATTGCGTAGAGGGGACATGTCCCTGTCTCACCCCCTCGTCTTTTTCTAGTTGCCTTACTCTTATGTTTACGTGTGTGGAAATCGGGCGCAAGTGAAATAACTTTTCAGAACTATCTAGACCATTTTGGGAATTTTCTGACCTATTTTTAGTCCAATGCAAAAAAAAAAATATATATATATAAATATATAAAAATAAATAAATAAATAAATGAATAAACAAATTCTTATGATCACTTGGAAGGTCACGAATAGGTGAACATAACGAGTATTTTTTCTACAATATTGGATCTCAGCCTATAAGAGAGCAAGGAATTATTCAATCACATAATAAAAAAAAGTATATTGTTTTCATTATCGTGACTTATGGTCAAAGCTGAAAAGTAGTGGTCATTTGACTATGACCTTCAAAATCTTTTAAGACCTTGATTCAAATCATATATCTCAAATAAAAAATGTGTATGGATAATGTATCCCAAAAGAATCTTATTTACACTTATATAGCAAATAGCAAATAGAATAAAAAAAAATCTATTGAGATAATATGATAATGCAATGAATCATCCACTTATTGTACTTTGGTGCCCTTAACATTAAGCATATAGGAAAATACATTGGGCAAAAAGCTCATGACTTCTGCATGAAAAGAGAACGCTTTTAATGGCTTATTATTCATCATTGAGTTCTCAAATACAAGACATAAATAATAAATTATTATGCTGAAATGCTGCATACTGAAACATTTAAATGCTTCATTCACTACTTCAGTTATATTCATGTAATCATCAATTATAGTTAAATCAATCTCAATAGTTCATTTTTAGTTATTGGTTTGATAAATTGTTAAGCTTTTTGTCACATCATCATAATCATAAACAAATAAATTGCGAAAATTAGGTTACAGTAACTTCTTAGTGAAAAATAATGATGGGAATATCATGTGTTTTTTTTTTCAAAACATGTTTGATATTGAGCTAGGAATGGATCTAAAAGACACTTTAGTGATACTTGTATAACACGAAGGAAGACAAATAAATTATGAAATGTAATCGATGTTTGATAGTTTTTTTTTTCAATTAAAATTTGCACAATTTAATTATCTATCATTCATTGCAGTAAGAAGACATTTCCACAAAAAAAAAAAAAAAAAAAAATGAAATTAAATATCACTAAACTTTCAAAGCCAAGTATTGACAAATTTTTGATGCAAGTCAAATTGTGATGTAGGTAAAACAATCTGTGGGATATTAAGGTATGCCACTCATCAGTTTTTTTGAGAAAAGTTTGGTTCGAACGTCTAACTTTTAAAATTATTTAACACAATTCAGTTTTTATGACATATTTGATTTAAACAATGCAAATTATACAATATTCAATTAGAAAAAAAAACTGTTCACTAAGTTGTGAAAACAAGATTTATGGGGAACAATTTTTTGTAATGGAAGGATATTTAGAAGAAAATTCCTTAAATTTACATATCTGTTTGATTTAATATCTTGGAACTTTAGCCCTACATATTTTTACTCCGGATTTTTTTTTTTTTTTTTTTTTTTTTTTTGCTATTACATTCTAGGAATATAAGATATAGGTTTCAAATAATATTTTTTAAACAAATTTTACACATTCACGCAACAAACTTTGCCAAAAAATGAAGATACATGTAAGAAGTCAAGATAAAATTTACATTGTTTTTCGCCTGAAATTTGCATATTATATATCTTAAATATTACATTACTGGCCCCAAGTTTTCTTTCATTATTTTAAATTTTACGATACTATCACCCGATCAGCACTAAAGTCATAAAAAGCTTGATACAAGAAAATATTTTATTGCCTATTTAGATTTTTAATACCCCAAATATGATATTTCTTTTAGTGCAAAAGGTCACTCAATGATTTACGCTTATTAATTTGCTGGTTTTTTTTTAATAATAAAAATTTTCAAGGTGTTCTACAAAAAATAATATTTTAAAGTATTGCTATGATTTTATTTAGTAAAATATGGTAAAGGTTAAAGTGATTAACCTAAGAGGTATAATTTCAGTGCAAAAAAGGTAATGTTAATTGTACGGTTGCTAACGAAGATGCACACTGACTAACAATATTCTTACCGATTTTGAAACAAAGTATATGAGAAGTTATCAATAATATACTCAGTATCTCTTTAAAATCTTTTATATAACTCATGTGACGAGTGACGTAACTTAGATAAAACATACATACTATTTATATAAATGTAACACAGATTATACGATGATAAATAAATGAAACATAGATCGTACGGAATAAAATAAAAATTTCAATCACTCAAATGGTGTGTTACAACCAAAATTAAAATTTCAAGCCATGACTTAAGTTCTGCATAAGTGAATGGATGGAAAATTAACGAAAATCAAAACTATAATCGATAACTTATTAAGCCAATGATTACCAGAAGTCACTACTGCTATGCAAGTCATCTTGTCCTCCTTGCATGTAATTGGCATCTTTCACATCTAGATTTTCTTTTGTTTCTGTTTCATCTTTCGCATCTAAAGATTCTTGTACTTCTTTCTCTGTAATATGTTCCATATTTGATTCTTTTACATCTTTTCTTTATTCTACAACAAAGAGAAAATAGTGAACATGTAGTTTCAACTGCCCTTTGAAATCAAATCAAAAGTACAATTATATATGAAGGCAATCGTGAATATGTCCTTAAATAATAAGTAGACGTTTCAGTACCTTACGACGTATTTTCATTTTCATTTTGGTCCTTTTTTATACCCACAGTTACAATTATTACTTACAGTTGCTACTTAATATGTACAGGACACCGTGTAGCTACGATTTCGACAGGTTACATTTTCATATTTTGCTACATTATTTCTTCATATATATGTGTGTATTTTAGAATACTTTCTGCTTACGAAGTTTTCCTTTCTGCCAATATCCAGGATATCGAATCGATATCGAATCATGATTTTTCAATGGGTTATGCCGCCCCATATGAAAAACTATTTTTGGCGTGTCAGTATTTGAATACCATCACGTAATGAAGTTTTCACCACCCGTAACCTTCTATTTACTTATATTTTCAGGTCAAAAATGAATAAATATCGCATTGCTTGTGGTATTGCATAATTATGTTATATATTAACCTAAAAACAAATTATACAGTTCAAGATAGATACTGACATATCACTCAGGTTTAAATATGGTTTCAATTCATTCCAATTTCATAGTACTGGTTAGAATCGATATCGATACGATATCGACATGATATTGTCGTCGATATCAACATCGAATTCGTTCTTGGACATGTATGATTTTGTATGATTTTGAAATACATAACATAGATAACCAAATAGCTGTTTGTTTCGTTTGAACACATTTTATTGTTACTTACGACACAGGTTACTGGGCGTAAGTATATAATGAAAGCATTGTTTAGTCAGAGTCTTCCTTTCATGGTAGAATTCGATAATTTTCTCTACACGTTCTAACATCATCAAATTGGCATTGAAATATTTCAAGCAGCAGATCATCTCTTTAACCAAGTTTACCTCACACCGAAATTCATAAAGCAATATTGTTTTCTTGCTTTTTACTTCAATATCTTACTGACTATAGACGTTTACGGCCATCAAACGAAAAACATGGTGACAAACAAGATGACTTCATCTTTTCAACAGACAACATTCATTTTTATGTAGAAATATATTTCTTAAATCACCTATATATGGTGTCTTTGCCCTCTAACAATTGAGTGGGTGGGATTCAGCAGGGGATGCTAACTCCTCTTTGACACTTTATCCCAGCTCGAAACTCTGGTGTCTCTAGAAATATCTATGTTGTGTCCTGTTCATCATTTGTACTCTTTACTACCTTATACCATTATACAAGATGCCCAAGTAATTGTTTACTCAACAATTCAAGGCTAAATTGAATATAAGAGCGAAAAACGTCTGAAATGGGCGTTAATAATAACAACGGTTCCTACTGTAAGTGAAAATTTTAAACAAGCTATTATGAGAGGTTTCAATTGCCTCTCTTTGCAAGAAATATGCATTAGCTGAGGAAATAAGACAATTGTAAAATAATATCACAAATACGTTTACTACTATTCACTTTATATCTTGAATTTGAATAAGATTGTCTGTATTCAGAAAAGAAACTTTTAGATAGGATATTATTTGAATATAGGGTGTCTTTGATCGGTATACGGTATCTTAGATTTAATATTGGCAACTGCGTATATATATATATATTTTTTGACGAATAGTGATACATATTAGTTGTGTTATTTAATAATGATTTGAAAATATTAACCGGCTAGTTATGATATCAAAACTGCTTTTATTTATGAGAAACTTTGGATTTTTTCTGAAACCGATGGACTGAAATGGCCATGAGTTGGGGGTATTAACAATGGCTAACGTTCTAAATATGCAGGATAAAACGAAAGTGAATTTTGTAAACATTGAATTATGCACCATAAAATGACTGCCTGGTATCATTATATCTCAGCAAATTACATGTGCATCCCTTTTAAAAATAATATAAATACCTTATCAATATAAATCACCAATTCTTCAGAAGAGA